TGTTTTGATATAATCATGTTGGGAAAATGCAAGAATCTGTCCTTAAATATCTTTTAACAACTTTTTTTCTAATTTTATTGCCCAAAAATGAATTAGTTTTAAATTATAAGCAGTTAAACTGAAATAAAAATACAGTTTTACCAAAACTATGGGTTTTTGGCAGAGGGGTTTTTGACATGACGGTAAAAACCGTCATGTGTCAAAAACTTGCCAACTCTGATCTTTATCTTAATTATAATGATGCATTTTTTAAGTGCAGAACCTTCAGCAATATGAATAATTTTAACAACTACTATATATATATATACTTTTCAAACTTGTTATTTTCTTCATAGTTGCATTCAGACAAACATATAATTTCACTTCATTCATGATTATAGTCTTGTAAAAATGTGTGAAAAACCATTGGTACATAAATAACATATTTGCCTATCTTTGACTCCTTAGTTGGAGGTGTTGCATTTTTATAAAAAATTGCTGATTCATATTCTTTTTATTAATTAGGATGTAAAACTTCTATGTGAATTAATTAAATTGATTCATTTAAAAAAATAAAAATACTGCATTGCAAAATAATAATGTACTATTTCAAATTTATTCTAAAAAGTCTGACTTAGGAAATAAATAAAAACAAGAAAAATCAATGAATGAAATTTAAAACAAATTATTCTAGCTGCTTAGAAAGTTTAGCTCATTTTAATTTATAACTTCACTTTGATAGAAATGTGCGTTAAGCAAAAACTAACAAAATAATAATAATATTTTTAAAAGAGATTAATTTTTATCTGAAAAAAGATATGCATCTAAGTAGACCTTAAATTGGGACAAAGCACTGGGCTCATAGACTGAAAATGTAGTCTATGCTCCTTCTCTTAAAGAGTTCTGTAAGCAAGTTGAACATAATTGGCCACTTTATATGAATGGTTTCATTTTAACTATGTGTGAGAGAGACACCTATCTAAGTTATGTGAGCAGTTAATTGAAGTAGAACTATTGTAAATATTGGTAGATATTTATTAGTATTGGCTTCTTTTTTTTAAACTTTATTTTATTACTTTACAAAATAAGACTTTTTCAGATCATTATATCAATTAATTCAGCCTCGTGATTTACTAAATTTCATGCATGCCATGGTAAAATTTCAGAAACATTAAGTGCTTTTATTTGTTACATTTTTCATACTTCCTAAAAATTTTAAAAAGTCATCAATAAGAAGAAAAGTGTAGAACTTCTTTATTTCGAAATAATTTTTTTTTTTTTTTTTTTTTTTTTTTTTTTTTTTTTTTTTTTTTTTTAGTTTGTTATTAAGGTACTTATGTATTTAAAGAAAAGTAATTTGCAATTTTTTTCTTTCTAGTTTATAGTTGTAATGTCTTTCAAGTCAAAAGTTTTTTAATATTTTTGATATTGTCTTTAAATACAAAATTGTTGCATTATTAATAATTAAAAACTTACTTTTTCCATCTGATATACTAAACAACTATGTTTTGTTTCAGGAGAGAAAATTGGAGGAAACGTGGAAAAACCTCTCCTGTTTTGGAGGCAGAACCAGAAAATTTGACTGTAGTTTCTAGGGCTACCGTCATGGAACAAAATGCTGAAACAAATGGATGTTCGGATGGACCAATTTCCCTTACTATTACAAACCATAATGATGTAAATCAAGTGAGTAATTGATATTTTATTTCTCAGTTTTTAATTTTTACTCTTTAGAGTTGGCAAGATTAAGAAAATTTTGGATCCATGCAACCCATTATACTTTTTTAAAATTTTGAATTTAGATTAGATTAATGATCTTTTTATGAATAAAAATGTATGCATGTTATTTATAATGTGTGGGAATTGAGGAAATGTAATTCTTTAAATTATATTATTTGTTACTGCTTTTAAATGCATTCTATTTTTTTCTTTTATTCTCCCATTATTTTAAAAATAATTAAAACAAAAAAATATTTTTTGTAAATTTTAGTACATCCTGCTTTGTGAACCCAAAATATTGCAACATTTATTGTAAGTCGTGTGTGCATTGAGAACATGGTTTGTTGAATTTTAAGTTAGATACTTTCCTTGGAGTGGCTGATAAGATTTTATGTAAAGTGGAAGCCTGGTTTCACATTGCCCATTTCATACGCAATCCCACTTCCTATATCAAAGATACTTTCCTTGGAGTGGCTCATAAGATTTTATGTACAGTGGAACCCTGATTTTACATTGCCCATTTCATACGCAATCCCACTTCCTATATCAAAGATACTTTCCTTGGAATGGCTGATAAGATTTTATGTACAGTGGAACCCTGGTTTTGCATTGCCCATTTCATACGCAATCCCACTTCCTATATCAAAGATGCTTTCCTTGGAGTNGTGCTTATTTCTCGTTGAAGAACTTGGCTACGCACCCTGTATTATCTTATAAAAAATCTCTATAAAAAAAGTTTTTCACAAAAATCAGTGAGTCTACTTATAATAATGTTGGACGCTAGTTGATCAAAAAATATCGACACATTGTAAACAATGAAATAAATATGCACAACTCTATATCAATTTTTGTATTTCAAAAACTACTTCTAATAGGTTATATGCAATTAATTATATATATTTTCTCATATTTTGTTTGCATATCAAGATTTTTTTAGAAACAATGTTTTAAATTACATTCAGAAAAAAATTCAGCATATGAAAAGTTAAGATGATTCATTTAAGATTATTTCAAAAAATATGACACAATGAAATTTTTTTGGAATTTTCATGGTTCGGCTGATACGTCCAACGTGCCAGAAATTTGCTATCTCGTAATAAAAGATATGTCGTTGACTTATACTCCGGGTTATACAGTATTTATATTTGTGCACTGTGTTAAATTCCATTGGGTATTTTTTTATGAAATGTTAATTTTTAATGAATTTAATATATTTCAGTTTAAACCTTATCAGAGTAAGAAAGACAAAATTATTGATTTGATACCATCTTCCTGAGTTTTGTTCAGTTTAAAATATCTATTAGGGCAATTCAATATTATCTGATAGTACCTTTTGATAAGTTTTCTAGCTTTTAAACTTATTTTTTATTGATAATTATTTTATAATTTTTTTGGAAATTATATGGGATATTTTTCATTAGCCTAATATTGTTATGCATATAAGAAAAAGGCATGAAAATTAAAAATATTTCATTTAGAATAGCAATATAAAAAATGACTGATGTTATGTAGAAGGGACATGGAGAAAAACATCACATTTTTATTTTGAAATTCTCCTTCTATAAGCGATAATGTTTTTTTAAATTTATTTGAAAAAATCTTCAACTAAACGGTAACATTTTATTTTAAAACCATCGTTAAACAGCAGACCCAATTTTTGGTTTACGACTTCTAATATTCAACCCCATATCCTTGTGATTTTGAACCAAATCCAGTAGACAAGGGAACTCCAGAATCAGGTATTGGGAGAAATTGTGCCTTCGTTGAGGATTTTATGATAGAATTAACCCTCATTTGCGTTACATTGAGAGGAAAACCTCTCACGGTTAGCTCAACAGCAAAGGGACTCTAACCAATGATCTGTCTGCCACTGAGAATATTTTATGTAAGCACTGTGGTCGGTGCAAGCCGGGTTTAGAATTCATATCGGTAGTTGATTTTTTTAAAATTGTCATCAATAGGGGAGATGATTTAATCTGAGCTTTTCTACAAAATAGTTATACTTCTCTTTTCATATTTCAGATTAAAAATAAAGAACAGATTTTATAGAGTATACTATCTTCTCTTTTTTTTTACATTGTTTATTTTAATTTCAGGTATCTACCAAAGCTGAAAAGCAGATGGCTAAAACCATATCTACTCAAGATGCCAAGAAACCTAAGCAGGCTTCCACTAATGCAAAGGGAAGTCGGTCTCGTAGAAGTATTCCACCAACTCCACCAAATTCAACACCTACAGTATCTCCTCCATCAGAAAGGCGGACCACACGGAATTTACCATCTCCGGCTCAACCGGCCCCTCAACCTTCTGTGAAACCAGTTTCAAGAACTCTTACTGCGGCTGAGCGTAAATCAGTAAAAAACTCTATTCCCATTCCTGCCACTAACACACAGTCAAACAAAAAAGTGACACAACCTCCTACACTTAGCCCACAAGTATCTGGAACTGTGCCTCCAACGAGTGGGGTAGTCCCTTCTTTGCAAGATACTCCTGCACCTGTTACTCCTATTAGTTCTAGGAGTGCTAAACATACTCCACAGTCACAGAGTCATACTTCACCTCCATTGTTAAAATCTCAAAAACGTCAGTCTAAGAGGCAGTCTGATATTCCAATAGTTGAGTTGGACTCTGCCTCCTCTAGAAGTAAACGTGTTAGATTGCAACATCAGCCATTTCAATCTCCTCCACCACCAACCATAATACCTGCTATTTTAAGGCAACCTATTATCAAGACACCGGAAGATAAAATCGTTGTTTTTCAAAAAGGTGAATTTTTGGCTGTGAGAAATGAAAATGGTATGTATTTATTTATGCGTTTTATTTGGAATTGATATGCATTTAATTTTGAAGAATAATTGACACATTTATTACCATGTTACAGGGTGCATAGCATTTTTAGGAAGTGTTTAAGGGAGCTTATTTTTGATTTACACTTTTTAAAAGCCCTTAAAGGTGCTTTTATTTTATTCGGGTTTGAAAAAAGTGCTTAATTTTCTATCTTTTAAATAGAGATTTTTTCTTCTGTGTCGATTTTCGTTCTAAATTACGGAAAAATGCATTATATTTATAATTTTCTCTGCAATATTTAACAGAAACTAGTTATTTTATCATGATTATGTAAAATGTTTTTGAATCTTATTGATTTTATTTTTGTAAATTTCAATAAAATTTGTAAAAATAAAATCATTAAACAATAGACTAGATATTACTTAGAGAATATTAAACGATAGAAAAAAATAATTTTTATTACTGCACATACCCTGAATTTGAAAATTTTTTTTGGAAAGTGCTTAAAAGGTGCTTATTTCTCGTTGAAGAACTTGGCTACGCACCCTGTATTATCTTATAAAAAATCTCTATAAAAAAAGTTTTTCACAAAAATCAGTGAGTCTACTTATAATAATGTTGGACGCTAGTTGATCAAAAAATATCGACACATTGTAAACAATGAAATAAATATGCACAACTCTATATCAATTTTTGTATTTCAAAAACTACTTCTAATAGGTTATATGCAATTAATTATATATATATTTTCTCATATTTTATTTGCATATCAAGATTTTTTTAGAAACAATGTTTTAAATTACATTCAGAAAAAAATTCAGCATATGAAAAGTTAAGATGATTCATTTAAGATTATTTCAAAAAATATGACACAATGAAATTTTTTTGGAATTTTCATGGTTCGGCTGATACGTCCAACGTGCCAGAAATTTGCTATCTCGTAATAAAAGATATGTCGTTGACTTTTACTCCCGGTTATACAGTATTTATATTTGTGCACTGTGTTAAATTCCATTGGGTATTTCTTTCAATGAATTTTAATATATTTCAGTTTAAACCTTATCAGAGTAAGAAAGACAAAATTATTGATTCAATACCATCTTCCTGAGTTTTGTTCATTTTAAAATATCTATTAGGGCAATTCAATATTATTTGATAGTACCTTTTGATAAGTTTTCTAGCTTTTAAACTTATTTTTTGTTGATAAATATTTTATAATTTTTTTGAAAATTATGTGGGATATTTTTCAATAGCCTAATATTGTTATGCATATAAGAAAAAGGCATGAAAATTATAAATATTTCATTTAGAATTACAATATAAAATATGACTGATGTTATGGAGAAAAACATCACATTTTTATTTTGAAATTCTCCTTCTATAAGCGATAATGTTTTTTTAAATTTATTTGAAAAAATCTTCAACTAAACGGTAACATTTTATTTTAAAACCATCGTTAAACAGCAGACCCAATTTTTGGTTTACGACTTCTAATATTCAACCCCATATCCTTGTGATTTTGAACCAAATCCAGTAGACAAGGGAACTCCGGAATCAGGTATTGGGAGAAATTGTGCCTTCGTTGAGGATTTTATGATGGAATTAACCCGCATTTGCGTTACATTGAGAGGAAAACCTCTCACGGTTAGCTCGACGGCAAAGGGACTCTAACCAATTATCTGTCTACCACTGAGAATATTTTATGTAAGCACTGTGGTCGGTGCAAGCCGGGTTTAAAATTCATATCGAACTGTCATCGTTGGGATTCGAACCCGGTTCACCTCATTGGAAGGCAAACGCTCTATCCCCTGAGCCACCACGGCTCTAAACAGGTAACATTGAATGTTCACAGGAAATGACAAATAGAAAGTGACAAGTAAATAAAAAGCTTTTATGACTAATGCTATAATTTTTATGCGACTGCTGCGTGGCATTCATGGCTGGCAAGTCTTGAGCCTAGTTTTGAACGTTTGAACAGTGTCAACTATTATTTGCACCTGCACATTTTGACAGCCAATGAAGTTATTTTTTAATCAAAAATACAAACTACATTGAAATTTTAATAAAATTTTATTATTATTACGAAATACTTTTTCAAAATACACTACGGAACCGATTATCCGGAACGATCGGGACCATGGCTATTTCGGATAACTGATTTTTCCGGTTTTCTGAATCGCTACAAAAAGCCTTTATTTTTATTGTTAAACCGAACTAAAAAAAAATAATATTTGGAAATAATCTTAAAAAGAAGAAAAAACGATGAAGTAATACACTAATGATTATTTTCAAAATGATGGTAAGGTAAACATCTTTCAAAAAAGAACGAAAAATCCTTAAATCTTTTGAGGAAAAAAAATAAATTTTTTTTAAAAATGGCGGGAAAATGTAACGAAATTCGTTCCGGTTTCTTGGTTTTCTGATTTCCGGATAACCGGTTCTGTACTGTATAATTTTTGATTTTTTTTTATCTATAATAGTTAATAATAAAATAGGAAATTTGTTAATAAAAGGGTTGCTATTAAATGCTTATTTTTTTATTATGTTGACCTTAGGATTATGAAATTGCTTATTAAAGTAATGAGTTAGAATTAACAAAATGAATGATATACGTCTGATGAAAATTAAAATATTATATGTTCTAAATATATTTTGCAGTAAATTTAAATGAATTATAGTACTGTAAGTGTGCTTGTATTTATATGAAATAATAAAATTTATAATTATTGATTTTTATTTATATTTTAAAATACTCTATTATGTTAAAGAAAATTTTAAAATTTTTAGGAAGCTTTTTTGTATGTAGAACAGCTCAGAATGTGTACAAAAGTAGCAAAAGGTTTAAAATTCAATGGATGAGTGACAAGGAACCCGATGTTTATATTCCAGACTTTTATGACCAAACAGGTTAGAACTTTTGTTTACCTTCCAATAATTTTTCTTTTTGAAAATATTTGAAGAAAACAGTTTTTGGGAAATTTTTCAATTGTCACTTACTAGTTGCTAAGTTTAAAAAATTTAACACAGATTTAAAAATTAAGTATGGATACAATTTTAAAAAATATCTGCTATACAAAACTTGAGGTTCAGTATAAACTAATCTAGTTTCAATTTCGCTTTTCCATTTGTCTTCCTGAACATAAATTAGCAAGCTGTGTGCAAATTTTAGAACTTAACAAATTACAAGTATAACAACAATTTCCATTAATGTATAGTAAAAAATTTAATTTTAGATTATTCTTTATTAAATCTATTAAATTTCAAGTCGAAGATACTTTTTTAAAAGATACTTTGCCGAATATTTGGCCCGACAGTCGACCAAACGAATATTCGGCAGATGAGACAAAAAGGCCAAATATTCGTTACATCGTGTATACTGACTGGAAATATTTATATCTTCAGTGAGTAAATTAGCAGAACAATTGTTCATAACCTGCTGATAAATGATGTTGGTAAGTAAACAAGTATATTTCAAAAGCAATATCAGAAATATGATAGTGAATTAGTTATTAGCTTATTTTTATTTCTAGGAGAGAAAAAAAGAAGGTAGGGAAGCCCAGTATTTACAAAATTATGTCATTGTATCTGAAATATGTGAAAAAGGTTTTTTATACCTAATTAATTACTTTGTTAATTTCAGATTTTGAGTGTGTATTAACAAATTTAAGGATGAAACGTGTAGATAAAAACAAATTTATGCTCCCAGCTGATGAAAGGCAAAGAACGCTAAATATACTTCAGCGAGCGTTAAATGTTGAAAATGGAATGACCATTTCCCCTGTGCAAGTAACAGTGGATGGAGGTATGAAAATCAGACTTTATTTTCTCTTTATTTATTTATTTTGTGAAATGTTGTTAATTATGATGCAATAAGTATAAAAGTTAAATCACGGAACTGAGAAAATAGGAAAAGTCAGGAAATTTTATAAATTTGCAAACATTAGTAAATTTTATTCAAATATCTTAAAGGAAAAGTAAAATTTAGCTTAAGATATAACTAAATGTCAGATATTTTTCTAAAAAAATTTTTTTATCAATTCCTTACAAAATTTTCTTTTGCTCCATTTTGATGTCTACTGAAAATTTTTTATTCTCATTACTGCCTTTATATTTATAAAATTACATTAAGTTTTAGCAATTTTCAAAAGTATTATTTATTTATCTTTTTATAGAACAGCTTTACATCATAGAAATTTGAGCTAATTATGATCAATTGTTTTCCACTATAAGTGATCAGTTATGTTACAAGTACGTTTAATACATCATAAATAAAAAGAGAAAAAAAAGGAGTGGGCTTCGTTCATTAGTATATCACTTTGCTACTATATCCACCTTAATCTCTTCACATAATATGTTTAATTTATTTAAATATTTATTTTAAGAAAAATGGTTTATTTCCAACTTCAATAATAAGCAAAAACTTTTTGTTACATCTATGAGGATTACAGGAATGAGACAGAACTGAAAAATTTTTCTTAACTTACATTTATGGCATCATTTACAAAGAATAAGGGAAATTTGGTAAAATAAATTTGAAAATATCGGGGAATGGTTTTTCTGGTGTTTGTAGCCATCCTGAAGATATTTATTGGAAAATAAAGTAACATTTAAAAATGGTAACAGATTAATAAAAATTGATTGATCAAATATATAAATAATATTTTTCTATTTATATAGAAAATTTTTTTTTATTGAAATCTCAAAGTTTTCATCATTTTCAGTATATTTTTTCCAATATTCAGATTTAAATATTTTAAAGTGCCAAGTGAAAAAATTAATTATGAATGCTTAGTGATATGTAAGTTATGTGTGTATTGAAAAATAAATGAAAATTGCTCTAGTAATTCAAAAATATGGCTAATAGTTCAATTCTTTCTAAACAATAATTAATTATATTTTGAAAGGAATTTCTTTCTTATTTGTATCTTTCTTTCTTTCTTGTTTCTAAACAGATATGTATAATAATCACTCTAGTAGGAAAATTATTTAATATTATTCATTATGAAGAAGGAAAAAAAAAAGGGGGGGGGGGAATAGTAAATTCCAATATGGTAGGAAATTCCCATATTCTACCCTGCCATCAATTTGAGAAAATTCAGACACAACAATAAAAATTTTGGTAGACCAATTACTAGTCTAATATCTTCAAAAAATTGCTAAATTTACGAAATATTTGCTGGTATATATAATAATCACTATAGAGTTTAGTAAAAATTAAAACACTTTTAAAAGAATCTATTTTCGAACAAATTTTGTCAAAATTAGATGATGTTGAAAGGATTGAAACTAGTTATAAGAGTAAATTGATTACAGATTGTTTTTCAATGGAGCAAAAAGTTTTTTGTTTGCAAAAAGTTTTTTATTTTATCCAAGTTTGTTATTAATACTGTCTTTCTATAAGGTCATTGATTTTTCTATTGTGAGTGTGATTTTGTAGTATAATTAAATAGTATGATTTCTGAATTCTTGTAGTTGATGTTTCTATTGTTGGAAAAGAAGATGAAGAAATTTTAAGGCAACAACAAGAAAATTTGCAGAAAACTGAACATAAAACTAAAGTGTCACCCGTTCAAAAACGAGGTCGTCCCAAAAAGCCTGAACCTTCTCCTCCTGCTAAAGTCCCAGTGACTCGTTCAACAATTACTAGTAAGAAAAATTTAAATTTTATAAAAAATTTATCTTTTTGATTTTTTTATTCAAATTTTTTTAAAGGTGACAATTTTAGAGAACTTAATTTATGCATATTTAATCTTTAAAAATTTTTTGTTCGCCAATAATCAGTAATTGTGATAATGCTTTGTATAAGCTTGTTTAAAAAAGATTAAGGCATGATTTTATTTCTTTAAAGAGAATCTATTTTTATCCTCACTACTCAAGTGTTTCTTGTAGAACACGAAAAATATCTTAGTAATTATGCTTTATTACTTCATTGGTTTAATTCAATAATTTGTTTTCTAAGAAAAAATCAAGTGATTAAAATTGTAAATTAATTTGTTGATTTTTTAATCACTTGTGTAGCAGTACTACATATCTACAACAGTTTAAATCGCTAAAGCCCGAGAAGTAATACTGTTAAATTGAATAATTACTCTATAAATATTATTTTGATCATTTCATTTAAAATGTATTTTTATTTTAGCTGAAAAAAAGATAAGCAAAACATTAGCTGCGAAAGTCAAGCTGAGAGCCAGAGAAACAGTAAAGGTCAAACTAAAAAAAGAAGGTATTAAACTCATTAATTTCAAACTATTCCTCTCTTAGCATTTCCAGATTTTAGAGTTTTATTTACATTTTTTATGCCTTTTTGTTAATTTGTTCTTTCTTGTATATTACGTGCTAGAAAAAATTGGAAATAATATTTTGTATTAATATTAATTTGTATTTTATTTGAAGGAGGTCGCATTATTGTATCCAACAAAGCTGGGAAACCTGTTACTAAGGTGAGGAAAATAGCTGAAAGGTTGCATCCGAATCCTAAAGTAACTGTATTTGAAAAGGATCCTTCTTTTCAAACAAAGTAAGCATTTAATATTCACATAATCATATATAGTGATTCTTAATTTATGCTCCTAGCAGATTTATAATTCATACCTTTAATTTTCTGACCTCGGTTAATATCTTCATCAAAATCGCTTTCATTAGTACAAATTTGTTTACATTAATAATTCTTATTTATAAAAAATTTTAAAAAGTGACAGTTTTTCTAAATAAATTTTTGTTTTGTTTTTTAAATTGAAAAATATGCAGGTTTTTAATTTCTTTTTCTTTGTTAAAGAAACCTAGTACTCACATCATCTCAATTGCCTAGAAGTGCCATGTTAAAAATAATATTCAAATTTCAGCAACCATTCTAAAACTGTCTTGTTATGTTATATTTCATTTCTAATTAAAAATGTAAAATTGAAATTTTAGGACTATCGGGCAAGTGCATCACTTATAAAATATAATTCAAAAAATTATGTTATTTTTCTTAGTTGAGAATATTTTCTTCTTTGCATCAAATTTGAAAGTTTAGTTAAAGAAAAGTATTTAAAGCAATCTTTACTTTCATTTATAAAAATTTTTAATGATTAAATAAAATTAAGTCTTTCATTCACATCATATTTACTTGTTGGTAAATATCATATTTTATTATTAATTTGTGATAGTTTCAAAAAATGAAAATATATATATATATTTTTTTTTTGTAATTTTCAGCACACCCATTCCGTATGTGTCATCATCAGCTCATAGTAAACTACTCATTCGTGCAATACTTTTAAAAGATATGGCCATGCTGCAGTCTTTGATTAAAGAAACACAGAAGATATGTTCAGTAAGTACAAACTACTATTGATTTTGAATATAACGATTCAATTATATTAATAATATCGATAAAATTAAATTTTGAAATTTACTGTTTTGTCTTAGAAGCAAATTTGGTTGTTTTTAATTTTATAACCTTATTATTCTAGCTGAATGCTCTTAGAAGTGTAGATCTTCAACTGACTCCTCTAACCTATGCTGTCCTAGAAGAAGATCATAGGGCAATCAGAACTCTATTAACTGTAAATAAAAGAAAATATGCTAATCCCCCTGAAACATTGCTGGAGTATCAGAACAGTGGAAGGTATGTTAAGGTGCCATTTTCCCAATGTAATTTAATAAAAGCAATCTAAATTAAACATTTGTTTAAAAAAAAAAAAAACTTTTTTTTTTTTTTTTTTTTTTTTTTTNTTTTTTTTTTTTTTTTTAAAATTGTATATTTTTAAAAATTGCTCAAAATGAAATTATTTTGTCAAAAATATAGAATCAAAAAGCAAGCAAAATTTTTTGAAGAAAATTGAGTCACATTTTATTAAATATTAACAGTTTAGTCTATTTAAATTTTCATACTCATTTATATCCTAACTATGTTTACTATTTTAATGTTAGTGAACTCTACTAAGCTGCTTCCGGGAAGTTATGGTTTTTGAACTCTTCCAAAATGGGGAATAATATATATAAAAGTAAATTTATTTATTTAATTTGAAATATAATTGACTAATGCAATATTTACATTTTTGCAAGCTAATTAAAAAATGCGAATTAATCGTTAGGTAAATTGAAATATTATCATGTTTTAGTTCAATGTTATACATATTTACCATAAGTAATGCAATACATTACTTATTTAAAATAAAAACATCATATAAGTGAAATTAAATGAAAAATTTCAGAAACTGTAATTTTTAAATTTATAATGAAGTAACATAGACCAATCACACCAAATCACCGAACCAACCGACTTTGATAGTAATAGGTCGCTGGCCTGAAGGAACTGATAATGATTTTATGGTGGAAATTCTGATCACGAAGCAACCAACTCACCTTAATTTTGAGACTTGTTAAAATAGAAAGCAAAGTTTTCAAATATATAATACAAAAAATTAAATGTACATTTTTATGTATTATTAAAAAGTTCTTAAAATGTGAATGTCATGGAGTTCCCTATGCTTATAAAAATTCTGGGCCCTGAACAAATGCCTGTTAGCTCCAACTTTATGAGGTAATAGAAAGCCAAATGTATTTTTGGATGAAAAAAATTTCATCTGTAGAATTTCTTCAGTGTTTTAATAAAACTAAACATCACTGTATCAACAGTTTCTTATAGCTCTTTCACCCATTAGAAAAGGTCAATTACTTTAATTTTCAAAATTTTAGCTGCTTATTTATTTATTTTTACTATTATGACTCTGGCAGGAAAACAACCAGTTCATTAATTGTGTTTAAAAGATGATAAAATGAAATTTTTTATGTTTATGCAGTTTCATTGTTTATGCAGTATTTATTTTCAAAATTTTTCTCCAAATTTTTTACTGTTGATGAATTTAGTTTCATTAATTAAATTTCACCATTTTGAAAAGCATATTTTAAATAAACCTTAGATTATAAAATCTTAATGTATACTAATGTATGTAGTTTTGTATTTAAATACGCCAAGATCTTATTTCTTTAAACTAAAGATGCAAATTATCAAATCAACTTACATTTAATTTGAGCAATTTTCTAAAAAGTGTTGGTCCTCAGGCATGTTTTAACAGAGTAAAACTAAACATTCTTTAATCTTTATACTTAGGTACAATATGACAATGCTTGGCCATGCTGTAAAACCTATAAATTCTTGTCGTGGTGGAAGAGAAGGAAATAATGCATTTTTGAAGGCAAGTATTATGATTAAAGTTTAGTTGTTGTGTAAGATAAAAAATTTAAATTATTGAAATATGCATTTTGATCATGATTAAATTAAAATTGGTAGCTAAAACAAACATTTTGTTACTCTGACAACATGAAAGGATCATTCTAGATATCCCAAAAATGTCTGGAGATTTTTAAAATTAATTAATGAAAAATGGTCTAAGCATTCTGCCTAGTTTACCAGACAATTTATTCTCTCCTAATTTTGAAATGAGTTATGTTATTTTGTTACTAAATGAAAAATAAGAGAAAATAAACACTCTTTTTACTCAGAAAATGAGAAAAGTGTACATTTACCTTTTTTTTTCTTCCTTCAATTGTTTTATTTCATTGTGAAGATATTTCATTTATATGATTATTGTTTATGTATATTAGTTTTAAAATTTAATTAGAAATTCAATTATTAGAAATTAGGAGTGGATAAGGGACTACATGAAAGAAAACTCATGAAAAATCACACAAAACTTAACAAGTAATTATAAAAAATAGTTTTCTGAACACAATCAAAAAGTATTTTTTTATGCTGTGAATAGGGACCGCATAAAAAAATCTCGTGTTGAAAATTACTCAAAACCTGAAAAAATAACTAGGAATTGTTTTTTTAAATGGAATCAAGACACGAGGCTTGGCAGGTACTTGGATTCTCGCCAAACCTTTGGAATCTGATTTAGAGCATACATATTCAAAAAATTGTAACTATTTTATTTAGTATACAGCTGCTTATTTTACATAGATAAAATGTATAGCCATTATCCTTCGTAGTTGTACAATACACAAACTTTTTTGTGGTAGACTGGTTCAAAATCGCTTTCGTCACTTGAGGATACTACACTACCTGGCACTCGTTAAGAGGGGTTGTTTTTTTAGTCTCAATGTAGTTGGGAATCAGTATATGCGACGACCGATGTTTCACTAGCTATTTACATATCTAAACAATATCTACTTTATGTTATTAATTTTTTACCTTACAATTAAAACAACTTATTAGTGTAATTGCATTTATAGGATTCATTCTTCTGTAATCGAACTTATCCAGAAGTGAATCAGGAACTTCTTAAAGAGGCTCTTAGAGCAGGTGTTTCCATTGATACTTTTAATCTGTTATTTGCAGAGAATAAGGAAGACTGTTATGATTATTCTTGGAAGGTAATTGCTGTTTGTATGATATATAGTTAAAAATTTATAATATAATGTGTTATAAGCAAAGAGATTCTTTCTTTCTTATGTTTTTCTTCTTTCTTTCTAATGATTGTTTAAAAGAGATATAAACTTTTGTTCCCTCTAGATAAAATATATCTTCTTTTTTTCTTGTTTAAATAGTTAAAATTTAATTTAATAAAACAGTATTTGTTATCCCACTGTTAAAATTATTTCACCAATCGTAATAACATCATCGATTTAGAAAATATATTATTTCAATTTCATTTGAACTATAGATGAAAGTCTAAAAATTAAATTAAGTTAAGCATGGTAGATGTCTAAAAATAGTATTAACCAGATTTAGTTTTGCATGTCTTTATGTGACTTGCTGTCCAATTGAAAATGGATATTACAATACAAGGTTAGTTTACACAAATGAGTGTACAAAAATATTATTAAATGTTAACTTACAATTTAAAATACTAAATATATTTATATTGGCAAATATGTTATAAAATGAATTTTTAAAATCATAATTAGAGAACTGATATATTTTATATAATATTATAAAAATACTGTATTATGTAAATTACAAATACTGTATTACATAAAAAATTTATATCATGTATCGTAAAAGAATCTTTTTCGGTACTCACCCTCTAAAAATTTCACTCAAGTTACTTTGTAATTTATAGTTCTAGTTTACTCTAACCATTGAAGTTTTTAAAAATCAATGTGTTTTAACTCTAATTAAAAGATAGTATGCGTACTTGTATTAATGTGTTGATTACTATTTATTTATATATTTTTTTAAGATGAAAGTATAAAATTTTCTAGTTAAATCATCAATAATGAAAATATGATTTATAACTTGTGGATATTGAATTTCAATTGCTAGGAAATAATTTTAATTTCAGTAGAGCTGTAGAATACAATATTATACATGTTTATTATTGTCATTGTTTCACGCCCATCTTTTTCATTCCTTACTAAAGATATTTTAAACTTATTGTGTGGTAACATTGAACTAAATATCATGAAATTATTCTTTCCCAACCCTTAGCTTTAAAATAACTCATTTCTTAATGGGTAATACTATGAAGAAAATGTTTAACATCTGTTTTTGAGCAGATTTCTGTAATTTGGGTGAAACTACAGTTTAGCACTCTTTTAGAATAATGGTTCTGTTTAGTTATATATAAAAATATTTTAAACTCATTAAAAAGAAAACGAGATTTTTTATATTTGCCATTATAAAAAAAAAATTTAACAGCATTTTAAATAGGCAATTCCTTGAATTTGGGCTGCCCTTTTACATAATTCTATGTTACCAAGCTAAGCTCACTTTGAATGTGGTTACTGATATGGATTATGTATGTGACATGATTTTTTACTATTTTTTTATCCACCTTTAAGTCAATAAGTTAGAAGGATAGGTTTTGTTTAAGTGTAAACTTACATGCAAACTCATCAACATATTAAGATATTTTGATAAATTTATATCGTTATCACTGTGCTTCTTCAGTATTCACATTTCCATTTATTGAAATATTTTAGAAAGATGAAGTCTTGAAACAAATACACATTGCTGTCCGAAATGGTCACCACAAACTTGCTGGACAATTGATGAATGAAGCTCTTTTAAAAGGTGGATACAATATTGGAAATCTTCATAAAGAAGTAAGGAAAAGTTATCAATATCTCATATTTTTTGTATTTGATTTATTTTGTATAAAAGTTAATCGAATAATCACCATGATTTTAGGTTTTGCTGAATGACAGGCAACCCTTAACTCCTTTTAAATCGGTGTCAGTGTTGAAAAAAGCTTATGGAAATGCAAGGGTAAATATTTCTTCATTTGGTTGTTCTGTTTAGATGTTTTATTTAATTTAGATGTAAGATGATGCTTAGATAATCTTCTAACAGGGTTGCCACAGGTGACTAAAATGCAACTATTTTCAGCATGAGGCGACTATGGCAACTTTTTTTGCCTGAAAAGGCTAAAAAAACAACTATTTTCAGGAAAAGGAGACTATTAGGAGACTTTTCTGTACTCCTAGCAATGTTTTTTTAGCATAATTGGGTTGAAAACCTGCAGCCCGCAAAATCTTCTGAAGACACTGAGTTTCTTTTCTTAGGAAATGTAAAATAAAAATAATAAAATTAAAAAAAATTAAATAAATAATTAAAAAATAAAAAGTTTTCGATTGTAAATTTGAGTCATCACTTTTTAATGCGTTCAATTTGCATAGATTCTAAGTCTATTTCATTTCTCGATTGCCTTTTGAACGGTTATTGCTGAGAAATTCTGCATGATTTGAAAGATCCCAATTTTTAATACAGTGCATGAATTT